ACCCCCCACAGCCGTGACCTCTAGGGCCTGCAGGGCGGGATGTCAGTGTGAGCGGGCTGGGCGAGGCCCTGGGTGCAGCTGGTGGCCCCGGGCTTCAGAGGCCCAGCCCCAGCCTGCAGCCCTCAGGCCGGCAGAGAGGCTCTGACAGCTTTCTCATCAAACCAGGCTTTGAAAACCTCGACGGGAGATGAGCTGAGACTCAAATCTGGCCCCCGTCCTGTACAAGGGAGGCCGGAAGGGAGCCTGCCTGGGGAGGACCCAGCCCCGGCCCCCACCCAAGGCACTGCCCGTTTGTGACTTTCCAGAAATGAGGGCCCTCGGGAGGTTTCAGGAGAGCTGCGCAGTCAGACATCGGCCCCAGTCAGGAGGCTGGGGAGAGAGGACGGCTCCAGGCCAGGCTCCAGGCCAGGCTTGGCGGCGCAACTCAGTGGGAGCCCGTGTGCCCAGAGGCACAGGCCTGGCTCCGTCCCCAGCACCTCCAAAGAAAAGAGCTCTCGGCCTGAGCCTCCCCAGAGCCCCTCAGGCAGCAGGAAGCCGTCTCTGAGGAGGCCCAGGCTGCAGAGGCAGCACAAAACAGAGGCCACGGCAGCACGGACCCCTGCTGGCAGGCCCAGGAGGCTGCAGCTCATGGAGCCAGGTGCCCCGAGGGACAGGCAGCTGAGCCAGGCGCCATGGCTGTAGGGAACCCAGGCCAGAAGCACTAGAGCCAGCAGCCCACGCAGGCCACGGAACCTCGAGACCACTGAGGAAATCGGAGGGCGCGCTCCACGTGGCCACTCTGTTCATCTGTTTGTGAGATCCGCCAGCAGGAGCCCGGCTGGGTGCCCAGGCTCAGCCCCAGGGAGGGCACGTGGCAGCAGTCAGGGGAGCAGCCTCACGGGGCCGCGTCTCCATCTCCAGGATGTGTTGTTACGTGGGAAGGCGAGCGAGAGGGAGTGTGACCAGCAGCTGCTCGGTCACAGGGAGGCGGGGGGGGGGGGCATGTAGGCATGTTCACACACCACGGCACACACGTGTCACATGCACACACGGCACACACGTGCTCATAGGCACACACGGCACACACGTGCTCACAGGCACACATAAATATTTGGTGCTTTCTTCTTTTTAATGTAAGAACAATCCTACAAAACGTCTTGCTCACTGTTCCCTGGGGTGAGCAAGGTGTACAAGAAGAGAAGCCCCCTCATGGCAGCCGGGAGCCGAGAGAGAGGACAAACTGGTTTTTAGATTTGATTTTGAAATTGGGTAAATATTTCATGTAATTCCAAAATGCAGTTAATCAAAACCATTTTTAAATCTCTAAAATCCAAAACAAAATAATATAAATGAATACAACTGCAGACGGAGTTAGTGGCACTTTATGGAGAAACCATTCCTGGGGACAGTCTGTGCCTCACTGCAGACCACAGGGACGCCGGCTGTTTCAGCAGTGCTCATCGAGCTCGAGGGAGTGTTGAAGCTGAGCTGGGAGCTCATGACAGGCTGGTGGGTGAGTGACAGATGACAGGCCGGGCCAGACATGCAGCCATCAGGAACCTAGATTCTCAGCCAAGAGAAAGAGCCCCCCCCGCGTGCAGCCCCGGCCACGCTGAGCAGCTGACAGGCAGTGAGCCGGCGAAGGGCCTGGAGCGGGTGTCGCACACAGAGCGAGGGCCACAGGAAGTTCCCAGGAAGCGAGGCGCAGAGGCTGCCCCGACTGGAGCGTGTGAGAGAACAGGGACAGGCATGCAGGCCGAGGTCCCGATCCCTAACCCCAAGCCCAGAATGACCCCTAGTGTGAAGCTTAAGACCTTGTTGTGGGAAGCAGACGGGTGAGAAGCAGCACCAGCCCTGGAGGGCAGGAGACCCGGGCCCCAGAACGGAGCCACATCCTGAGCCTGACCCCAGTTCCTCACCACACTCATAGGTTATTGGTGTCATCTACCCTTGGGGCTTTTTTCCTCTTTTAAAAACATTTCCTGATCCTCGAGGTGAAGGACCGTGCGGGGTCCCCAACATGAAGCGCCTCACAGAAACGGGAAGGAGGGCCCTGTTCCCAGGCGTCTCTTCAATCCCGAGTGTGTCTAGATGTCAACGGGGCAGCCAGACCCGCAGGGCAGTTACCTACAACCCAAAAGGCAGGCCCTGATACCAAGTGCCGTGCAGGCCCCCAGGCCTGCTGCTGCTGATGCTTTTATTATTATTATTTTTTGTAACCAGGGATTGAACCCAGGGCCCTCGGCCTGAGCCCCATCCCAGCCCTTTCCTGTATTTTACTTACAGACGGGGTCTCGCTGAGTTGCTTAGGACCTCCCTAAGTTGCTGAGGCTGGGTTTAAACTTGAGATCCTCCTGCCTCAGCCTCCCGACCACTGGATTACAGGTGGGTGCCACCACACTGGGCCCAGACATTGGCTTCTTGTCGTGACATTTATAGTGTCACCTCACAGCCAGGTCTGGTCTGGTATCACAGCTGGAGCCCCCACACTGTGGGGCGTGGTGAGCACTCACTGGCAGGCCGTGTGCAGGCGCACGTGGAACATGAGGCGGCTCCCCCCTGAGGTTCCCCCACATGGGAAAACATGGCCCTGTCTGGTAAAACCCAGATCCAAAGCACTCCTGGTCCCAGGCACCGCTGGCCAAGACCAAGGATGGCCTCTGGTGGCCTGGAGCTCCCGGGGAGCTGGGGGAAGCAGTCGGCTCACAGGGCCACCGTGACGCAGGGGCCCAAGCTGCTCACAGGTGCCCGAGGGTGGGCTGCCACACGACTCCCTCCACAGAGCGCAGGAGAGCGGTGAGAGTGGAGGGGCCCGGCAAACAGGCCCCAGGGCCCTGTGACCAAGGCCACCGCCCACCACCAGAGTCAGGTGATAGCAGGCACCCGAAGGTGATGAGAAGGGCTTCACCCGTGTCCCCCACCAAGCCCGCGCCCTGCCTAACCAAGAGGAAACGCAGTCCCTGCTGGAAGTAGTCTACAAAAGACCTGACCATCAGGGTCACCAGAACCAAAGAAGAAGTGTCCACCCAGCCAAGAGGACCCTGACGAGATCTGATACCAAGTGCTGTGTAGTGCCCTGAACCTGGGGTCGGGTGGAGATGAGCCTCTCCAGGTGTATGTGGGCCCAGGGAGTGACGTGGCATTTGGGTCATTAACGACCACCGCACCACAATCACGCACAGGAGGTCAGCAGTGGGCGGAGTGGACTCCATCTCCCCAGGGGCTCACAGCGTGGCCTGTTCAGACACAAAGGACACTGGTCGAGCTCTGGGACTTAACAGATGTGCTTTCCAAACACCCCAGGCTCACAGACCAGGTGCATCTTAAAGAACTGGTTGCTCTGAAGGGACCCGCTCCCTAACCTGAAAACCCGTGAATGGAGGAAGCAGACCTCCCTCTGCCTTCCCACAGGCTGTCCCCGCGGGCGGCCGGGGAGTTCTAGAGGTCAGTTTCTCTTCAAAATTGGTTCCGACCGGGCTGGGGCTGAGTGGCAGTGCTTGACTTGCACGTGCAAGGCCCTGGGTCCAATCCTCAGCACCACGTAAAAAAAACAAATAAAGAGATGGTGTCCATGACAACTAACAAAGTACTTAAAAAAAGTGTTCCAACTGAGGGTGGAGGAGGAGAGAACCCGGCTCCCGCACGTGGCAGCCCCGGAGAGGAGGGGTCCCAGGACCCCACGGCCCACACTGGCCAGGCGTCTGGCTGGCGGCACCGGGGCCACTCACAAGTCAGACCACCACAGAGAGACCCAGCCAGACCTCGGGGCTCCCCACGCGGCTGCACACGGCGCGGGAGCCTCACACCTGCGGGGGCCACGCCCCCACCATGGCTGAGGTGAGCCCGGAGGGCCCAGCGAGGTGGTGACTGCATGTCCCCAACTAAGGCGCAGCCGGAGGCAGAGGAAGGGAGCCCAGAGGAGGAGGAGGGCATGCTGGCCAGAGGCAAAGGGGGTCTCCGTCAGCCGCCACTCAGATGACCAGCTGTGAACTCAGGACAGAATGTGACGGGCGTGGTGTGAAGAGTCAAGGGCTCTTCTCAGGATGACAGAGGTGCTGTGTTTACGTTCGTGAGCCTGCCTTCTCACAAACATCATGCTGCGTCGCCGGACACGGGTCACGTCTGCAGTCCCGGGCGGGAGGCTAAGGCAGGAGGATCAGGTTTAAGGCCAGCCTCAGCAATTTGGCAAGGCCCTGTCTCAAAATAAAAAATAAAAAGGGCTGGGAACGTGGCTCAGTGGTAGAGCCCCTGGGTTCAGTGTCTGGACCCAAAAACAACCCCAGAAAGTGCTGAGCTGCTTCAGGTTCCCAGTGAGACCCCGGGCGACGTTCCACGGGGGCAGGGGGAGGCCCTGGGACCAGTGGCTTTGGACTTGTGATCCTCCTGCCTTGGCCTCCCAAAATGCAGGCGTCACAGGTGGCCACCACTGTGGCTGTGTTTATTCTGTAAGCGGAAGCTGCTCATGGACATAGTCCAGCCTGTCCACGTCCTTTGAGGGTTGTGTGCCTGCGCTGTGTCCGGATGTCTGGATACTCGGAGTCGCGCAGACCTGCTGCTGCGTGGTCGGCAGGTTTACAGTCCCACGGTTCACTGGGACTCCACTCATTTGTTGATTCTAGGAGAGGCTTTGGGTCTGTGTCCAGGTCCACAGTCGGCGGGGGGCCCAGCTCTTCCTGCTACGTGTGTCGAAGGCTGTCCTTACCCACAGAGCGGCGCTGCGGTGCCAAGGGCAGGTGGCCATTTCCACGTGGCCTCCTTATGGTCCTCTGTTCCGTCTCGTTGGTCCAGTGGGTCTCTGCCGGTACCTGGCCTTGATTACTGTCGCCTGACAGCAGGTCTTGGAGTCTTGTGGCCCCAGCTGGGGACTTTCTCCTCCTTCGTATCATGTTTCTTACTTGGGATCTTTTAGCCCAATCAGTTTCTCAGTTTCACTATACTGAGAAATACTGCCGCCACGGAAGTCAGACTTAGAGCCGGGTGGGGGCTGGGGGGGGCGGGGGGGGCTGGGGCTGCGGACACCCGGTGAATTGACAGGAAAGGGCTGGTGCACAGCAACACGGCGAGGACAAGGGGAGGGCTGGGTGCCACCAAGCCCGTGGGCTGAGGTCAAGGAAGGCGCTGCGACCTGTGCAGAGGACCACCCCAGCCCGGGAGTTAAGGACGTCACAGCAGGTGTGAGACCTCTGAGAGGCGACTAAAGGAGAAGTCGTTGAGATCTCTCAGAGAGAAGGAAAGGGTGGGAAATGGAGGGGCACCTTCGAAAACAAAGGACGGCCCCAGAAGGCCTAGGGTGACCGCGAGGAGCCTCAGGGAGAGCAGGAGGCGGGGGCGCTAGAGGAGCACCTGGGGACCCTCTTGGAGCTGAGGGACAGGTTGTCTGGGTGACGGCCACACCAGGCTCGGGGGAGCTCCAGGGACCCTGCAGCGTGGGCTCTTACGAGTCAGCAGATCCCACGCTGGAGCCGGGAGTCCCAGGCACAGGACCAAGGTGACCGCCTTCAGGCCCTCGGGCAGTCCTGGCAGTGAGCACAGGGAGCGCAGCCTCCAGTGTCCCGAAGAGCGCGTGCGCCTGCTAGATGTGCCGGGCCCCGGGTCCTGCCCTCCTCTTTCCTTCTTTGCGGTTGGCCCCCTCCGGCCCAGGCTCTGCTAGGTGTGGACATCATGTGACGGTCGCGGCCCCCTTCTGAATTCCCTCTTGCCGTCATGAAACGTCACTCTGCTCTTCTGGCGCTCCCCCTTCCAAGGCTCCGTGGGCCACTCCAGCGAGGTGGCTGCTCTCGCCGTACCGTCGGTCTCCTAGAATGGGCAGCCCAGTGGGGGGCCGCTGATGGTTTGTGGTGTGGCCATCGGACACTCTAACCCCCAGGTATATGTCAATGTCACCCAAAAGGGACACCCTGGACCCCAGCAGCTGTCCCGGCCCCGCACCGCACTCTGTGGCCCTTGTGAACTCTGGGCAGGCTTTCACAGGGACACGTGCCATCGGCACTCTTGGGGACATGCCAATGGATCTCTGGGTTGTATAGTGACCTTGTATTTAAATTGAGACGAACGCGCCCAAGTGCTGCTCTAGTGGCGGAAGGGACGGGGTTGCAGCTGACATCCACCCACCAGGGCCCCCGTCTCCCTTTGTACCCTTTCAGCACACTCGGTCTTTCCGATCCACCCCGTGTGGTGCTTATCCCTGGAGTCTTACCCACTGACACCTGATCTAACCCATGCTGTCCATGCACGCTTACCGGTCAGTTTCCAGACTGTCTGCTTCCCCTGCCGCCTTGGCTGCTGTCCCAGGCTGTTGTGACCTACCCATGGGCTCTCGCGTGTCCTCCACACCTCCTGGTGCTGGCCTAGGGTCACAGCCTTAGCTTCTTGGTCTGAGTGGACTTCACATAGGATCCGCACCTGGACACGTGGTGCGCCCGCTGTGCTTCTGCCCGCCCGCGACTCCCCCAAGACCGTGCTGCTGATCTGCGTCCCTCACGTCTCTTTTGAACTAAGAGGGAAAACAGGCTCCTGTGTCCTCGGGTTCACCCGCTCCGACGGCCCCCACGACCTCGCCCCACAGACCCTCCTCTGCCTGCTCTCTGGTCAAATCTGTTGGTAACAAATAGCTTTGTTTTTTATTTCCCTATAAAGGTCTTAGCTTTGCCTTCGTTCTTTTAAAATATTTCCACCAGGTACAGAAAGTTCTTTCCTTCCCACGTTTTTAAGGGTGGCCCACCCACCGTCCTCTGACCTGCAGAGTTTCAGATGTGAAGTCTGCAAGCACTCGGGGCGCCGTCCCGCAAGCTGGGCCCTCTTCTCTGGCTGCTTGAGCGTCTCCCCCTTGCCTGGGCTCTTAGCAAAACGTGGCCCTCTGGGGTTCTTTCCTGGTTGGGATTCACTGTTTTGAATCTATAAATTAATGTTCCTCGCCTGCCTGGGAAGCTTTTGCCCAAAATATTTTTTCTGATTCATTTCCTCTCTCCTCTACGACTCTAACTTCCCCCCTTCTAGGGCTCTACCCCTATGTTACCCTTTGATATCGCTCCCTAAGTCATAAGAATCTGTTCACTCTTTTAAAAACCTGTTCTCCTCTCGTCTTCAGAGTGGACAGGTTCTGTTGGTGGATCACTGGCTCCTAACTCTTTCATATCTATTCTGCTTTTAAGCCCATCCAGAGCATTTTTTAAATTTCAGATATTTCTTACTTTTAATGCTTTCAGCTAGTTCTCTCCATTTTATTTCTCAAAATTCCCTATCTTTTACTCATTATAAGTATATTCTCCTTTATGTAATTTAGTATTGTGATAATAGCTGTTTCTAAAGTCCTCATCTGATAATTGTAACTTCGGGGGCATCTCTGAGTTTATTAGGTTTGAATTGTATCCTGAATATTGTGAATGCTGTGCCGCGGCCACTCTGGGTTCTGCTGTATTCCCCAGATGAACATCCATGTTTTTGCTGTGACTGATCGTTGGCTTGGTTAGCCCCTGTGTGGCCTGCAGGGGCAGCTCAGCTTCCCCACAGGTGCGTGGCCTCACTGCAGTGGCTGATGTCTGGGTCAGCCCTGTGCCCACACAGTTGACACTCCCTGGAGACCTGGGGGTGCACACAGAACATGGGGCCACATTTCTGCCCTCTCTGCTGGGAGTCTCCCCTGGCTTTGGCAGCTGTGGCCGCCCTGGGTTCTGCCCTCTGATTTCCCGTCTCTCCCACCACACTGGCCCCAAACTTAACAGGTTTCAACTCCACATGAAATCCACCCACCTCTTTTTGGCCTCCAAAGCCTTTAGATGATTGCTTTCCTTGAGGGTTTAGGTTGGGGGTTGTGTTTTGTCTAGACTTTATAAGTGTCACCTACATACTTCATCTTAGGAGCTGACTTTACCCATCCTCCAACCTCATAAATTATACCCAGCCAAACTACCAATTAAATATGAAAATAAAGCCACTTTCAAACAGGCAGTGTGTCCAGAAGTAAGACTTCCAGATTCCTTCCTAAGGAAGTTACTGAAGGGCATCCATACAAAAGAGGAGGCTGTAAAACAAATAAACAAGTGCAATGTGGAGTTTGGGGTTCAATATGTCCCTCATAAGAAAGCATGAAAGAAATCCCCAGGATGTCAGTAAGAGGACAAGAGGCAGAAACGGTGGGTTCTGGCCATGAAGAGCAAAGCACAGTCCTCAAGAGAGACTTCTTCAAGCAGACAGACTTGAAATACCAAATGGGTTTGAACATGTTGAAGAGATTTACATAATTAAGGAAGTGTTTGGATTTGAATTACTGTTAAGTACATAGAAAATTAAATCAATAAAAAAAAAATCATTTTGCTCCAGGGGAAAAATGTACAGGAAAAAAACAAAGTAATCACAGTTAACTATATGGCTGAACTATGAATAGATATTGCATAGTCATGAAGCAGATCCTGAGCGTTGGTCTACTTAAAATTCTGGTGTATCTGGAGAGTGGTGTGCTGGGAACGGCGGGGGACAAAGGGAGGGAGCCAGGCAGGCGGCTCCCAGCTGGGGGTGCCTCTGACCTCCCCTGGGATGCCTGGCGCTGTTCTCCAGCAGGGTAGAGGCCACTGGCTCAGACATCTGTCCATGGGGTGGGGCTTCCTATCCTGGGGTGAGTGTGACAGGGGTCCCCACGGTGTGCTCTGTAGTCTGTGCCGTGACAGTGAGATCTAGGTTCCATCTCAGGTGCAGGGGTAGCCGTTGGCATCTAGTGGGTAGAATTCAGGGACATTGCTAAACATCCTACAGTGCACACCCACAACAAAGAACAGGTCCAAAATCACAGTAATGCCACTGTTGAGCAATCCCAAGCTAAGCCATCGTTTTCCAAAGCAATGAGCCAGCAGATAATAGCTAAAACGTAAATATCATAGCAACGACAGACAGGCACTTCAAGACAGGGGGAGACGCAGAATCGGCCGAGGAGAGGGCCTCTGCCATAACCAACCTGGAGCAGTGTTAGTCTCTTGGCCTAGAAGGAGTGTGCACAGCTTTGATATTCTGAACAGCGTCATGTGGGAGCATTACTGATGAGGAAGGCGTGCGCTCCGTCTTGATCCCTGACTGGCTGAATGCCCTGTGGCTTGGGGTCCTGCCACCTCCCTGGACGTGGCTGTGGGGTTCACTCCCTGTCTGTATGTGAGGGTAACGCATGGAGAGGCACGTTGCTCTCTTGCTTTTAACTGGGCCTGGGACTTGTGAGGCTCTCTCTTCTCCAAGGCGGGAACTCCAGGAGCCTCAGTGCTTCCCGGAGCCTGGTGTGGGTGCAGCAACTCCCCCCGGTGGCAGCATGCCAGAATTGCAGGTCCAGGATTTTGAGTGAGTTTGGGATGCCAAGTGGGCAGGTGAGGCACCAGCAGGCCTCCCTACTCCGGGTCTCTGTCAGCACATGAGCACCCCGTGGCCTCTGCCTTAGGGACAGGCTGGCTCTGAAGACCCACGGCCGGCTAAGCTGGCTTTGGCCTGTCCACAGGCTGGGAGGCATGGGACTCAGCTGGTGGCCCTCTGCGCTTGCTGTGGTGGACAGGGACTCCCTGCACAGGTCCTGCGGCATTTCCCACCAGCGAGGCCCAGGTGGCGGGTACTGCGGGCACCGTGTGCCTTCGTCCTGCTCGTCTTTCTTTTTAAAACATCTTTTCAGTCGCAGATGAAGGCAATACCTTTACTAATCTCCCCTGTGCCGAGGCTCAACCCCATACCTCCCACGTGCGAGGCGAGCGCCCCACGTCCAGCCCCTGCCGCCCTGCTCTTCTTGTGGAGTGTGTGCCCTTCCAGCTGCAGTGGCCTCGCGTGCCTTGGGCAGGTGCCCCAGAGCCCACCCAGGCCAGGGCAAAGCGGCCCTGAGCCCGGCTCTGACGGAGGGTGCCTCTCCTCTGGGGAAGGCGCTGTGCCAAGCTCATCTGCTTTCCAGAGCAGGGAGCTCTCCAGACCTGGTTGGAGGGGTGAGGACGAAGAGAGACCGAGGTCAGAGCACCGCTGCGGGGTGCTGCCACCCCTGTGTCCCTGCAGCTTGAGAAGCCCGTCCCTTTGTCCAGGAAAGGGGCTCGCTTTCCCTGAGGAGGGAATCCAGCCTTGGGGACCACTGTGCCACGGCTCACCCCCAGCAAGACATCCCTGCACAGGTGGAGGGAGACGGGCACATGGATGCGGCCAGGCCTCATTGTGGGCACACATCTCCGTAAGGGCCTCTCCAATCTGGGTGGAGTGGGGGTGACCAGTGCCCAAAGGCCTCAGAGCGGGACGGGCAGAAAGCGGGTAGAGCAAGGAGCAGGCAGGCTTAAGCCCGGGCCTCGGGGCAGCAGGAAAGGTGACCCAGGTTCCACACGGGCAGCAGGCTAGGACGGACCTGTGTGGGAAGTGTGGGAACCGCCCACTCTGGGCAGGCCTTGTGCCCTGCAGGGTCCCTGGCAGACAGGTGTGCTCCCTGCCCAAATCAGGGCAGGGCACAGGCTGTGGGCAGTCATTTCTCCATCAGGGCCTTCCTGCCCCGGGGACAGCTTGGTGGCCCACCGTGTGCTCTATGCCATGTGGCAGAGCCCAAGCCACACCTGGAGGGTGTGGAGCAGATGGACATTGAGGTGTCCCCACTAGGCCTTGCTGGATGGACAGGCCAGCAGCTCTCGGCTGGCTCAGGAGACGGGAATCCTGGCTCCGAGCACTAAGGCAAGTGTCTGTCACCAGGGCTGTGGGCTTCATGCTGGGGCTGCCTGCAGGCGCCTGAGGGGCCACCGCACCGCCTTTTGCCAACACAGTTTGGGCTGAGGTGAGGGGCTCCCCCCGGGGTCCCCAGACCTCACCTGTGTCCATCTGGTGTGTGGGGTTCAGAGGAACTCGTGGGATGGTGACATGCGGCCCCTGCCTCTGTGCCACATGCAGAGAGGCCAACGGCAGGCCCCTCACATGTGTTCCTGCTCCCACAGAGGGACAGGCTGTGGGCACAGGGCGAGGTTCCATGTGATCCTGGCTCTGGATGGTCAGCTCCGTCATCTGCACGTCTCAAATTGAAATCAACTTCACAAATGTCCCCTGGTCTGGTTGAGACCAGTTACCTGCAAGGCTCCTTTTGTCCCCTTCCAACATTCTGAAAGTGGCTGGGGCTGCCATGCTCTCCTAATCGCAGCTCCTCAGGAGCAGGAGGGTCACCAGTTCAAGGCCAGCCTCAGAACTCAGCAAGACCCTGTGTCAACATAAAAAAAGAGAAAAGGCTGGGGCTGGGGCTGCGTGGCAGAGCACTCCTGGGCCCCTGGGCCCCATGGGCAGTACCTCCAGAGAATGAGACCTCTGTGGAGCCTCCAAAAGCAGCCGGCACCAAGAGAAGGACAGCAGGACCCTGGCTCAGTGGTGGCTGGGTGGCCGGAGTCCAGCGCCCCTCCTGGCGTGGAGGGTGCCTACAGGGCCCTGAGGTGGCCACGCTCGTGCCCCTGCTAAATGACGGGAGGCTGGGCCACGGCTCTGCAGGGCCACGACTGTGTGACAGAGGCTGTTGTCCTGCCGAGGGCCCTAGCAAGAAGCAGCACGCCTGGGACCTGCTGTCCCTGAGCTGCTTCATGGGAGAGCAGCCCGGCAGACGCCCTCGGGTGTTGGCTGGGCGTGGCGTGTGGCCTCCGTGTCCTCCTGATGTGGTGCCCCATGCACACCTCCCAGGACACAGGCGTGCCAGCCGTGGGAGGCGGGTGACCTTTGGGGCCCCGAGGTCCCATCACCGTCCATCTGCATAGGCCTTCAGCACAGGTGCGAGTCCCTGAGCTGCAGGAGAGGCCCCTGTTAGCAGCTCGTCCCTTTGTCCTCCCCTGAGGGTGGCATCTGCCTCTGACCTTCAGAGGAAAGGGTTCCCAGCCCACTAACCTCCCAGACCCAGGAGTAAGTGTCTGCTTCCTCAACAGCCAAGGTCACTCCAGGGCAATGTCCACCACAGACCCTTGGGGAGAAACTCCCGGGAACCAGAGTCCTAGAGAATCAGCTTGGGGCCGTGAGGGTCAGCGGGTGGCATGGGGGCTGCGGGATGGCTAGAGACGGCAGAATGGTCCTGGGGACCTCTCCCCTGCACAGTGCTCCTTCCTCCCATCTGGCTCTTGACTCCCCATGAGAACAGAAGCTCTGTGTGCAGGGACAGATGGCCGGCTGGGTTAGCCCTGGCCTCCCGGCTCTCAGAGGCCACTCACGACTAAAGTACTGGGTGGATGAGTGAATGAGCAAGACTCCCAGGCGGGAGTCCCTGTGCACGGGCTGAGTGGAGGGAACCCCAGGAGCAGGAGGTGCCTGAGGTGGCTGCTGCGCCTGCCCTCAGCCAGCTCTCCATCGCCCACTCCAGCTTCTCTCCTCCTGCATTAGCTGGGTCCCTTGTTCGACTCTTAGCAAGTCCAGTGGTGGCTGGCGGTCACCCAGGGACAGGTGTCAGTACTTCTGCACGTAAATGGTCTTGAACTTGATCCTGCAGGTCTGACCCTCCTGCTTCTAGCTGGAGATAGCGTGAGGGGGGCACAGGGCAGAGCGCAGGGATGACAGGTGCGGAGCCTGTTGTCCAGGTGCAGTGTGGTGGCAGGGGCAAGCAGGTGTGTACCCCACAGCACTGGACAACTGCCGCTGGACCGTGTGCACGGCAGGCACCAGACACCTGCCCCGTCCACCCCTGTTGGTCTTGTGTCATCCAGGAGAGCATACAGGGGCACTGCCCCTCCTCCCTGGGCCAGGGCAGCCCCTCCTGGCACCTTGTTGACCCCCACTTTGTGCCACCTGAGGCTTCCAGATGGGGAAAGGGGAGGAGGGGCCATGTCAGGGTCAGCGTGAGAAGCGATTAAGTGCCACAGGTCCCTTTGCCGAGAGGGTGGGCAGCCCGCCTGGACACGCCTGTTGGGTTCTGCAGGGACCTGCAGGCCATGAGGACTGCCCTAAGCCACAGGAGCGAGCACTGGGCACCCCAGAACCAGCTGTCCCTGGAAGCTGCAGAGGGCCCTGGGCCACAGCCAGGTGACCCCACCACAGGCACTTGTCCCAGTTTCCCCCAAAGCACTCTGGCTTCCAGAAGGTAGGACCCCACGCTGTCCCCACCTGGCACCTGCTGCCTTTGCTGCCGCCACTCAGGCCAGTTCCCTGTCTTCCTCCAGGTCAACAACGAGAACGTCGTCAAGGTCGGCCACAGGCAGGTGGTGGACATGATCCGCCAGGGAGGGAATCACCTTGTCCTCAAGGTCGTCACGGTGACCAGGAGTCTGGACCCTGAGGACACTGCCAGGAAACAAGGTACATCCCCTGCAGGGGCCCTGGAAGGGACGCCCGCTTCAGGTGGATGGGCCTTCCCTTCAGCTGAGTGCCTCCAGACCCGGGGGGCTGAAATTTGCCCCCCACCCCCAGCCATGACACTGACCCAGGGTCACCTCCCAGAGTGGAGTGGAACCTGCAGAGAGAGATCAAGCGCAGGCCACTGGTGGGAAGGAGGGGGAGGCCACGGCCATCCTCCTAGCCAGCTCTCCCAGGGACAGCTGCATGGGACATGGGACACCAAGTCCTGTGACAGCAGGAAGGCTGGGCTGGGGAGAGAATGCCCAGAACTGGAGGAGGGGCAGGGACAGTGGGAGGCCATCCAGCAGGGGGAGGGGAAGAGCTCCAGCTGTGCACCAGGAGGGCAGAGCCAGCTCCTCCCAAAGCCCCATCAGCTGGAGCAAGGGACCTGTGTCCCCACTGGGACAGGGTGGGTGTGGGACCTGTGCCCAGCCTGGCAGGTGGTGGCTAAGGGCCTACGGCTGCTGCAGCCATCCAGACTGTGCTATGAGTCTCTCGCAGACCCTGGGGGACAGGGCTGTGCCTCTCTTTCTGCAGAGGTTACACCTGTCCTCCACCCCTGGCCCACAGTGCCTTCCGGCCCACCCGAAACACCTGTGAGGTCCTAACCATCGTGGCCCAGAGTCCCTAGGACCACAGGGCCCTGCCACATGACTCATCCTGGGCCTCAGTGACACCTGCCTGGCCCCTGGACAGTGCCATGTCCAGGAGTGGGGAATGGAGAGGCCAGGGGGAGGGGCAGCAGGGCCTGGGGTGCTCACACCTGTCTCCGTCTGCCCGTCCAGCTCCCCCACCTCCAAAGCGAGCGCCGACCACAGCCCTCACCCTGCGCTCCAAGTCCATGACCGCAGAGCTGGAGGAGCTGGGTAAGAGCCGCCCCACCCTGCCCAGCTCTGCTGCCCCGCACGCCCGCCCCTGCACGGCCCTCTGCTAGCTTGCTTCCCCTTGGGTGACGCGCCCTTCCTGCCCTGCATGCCCTGGCAGCTGCGCCCCTGGCAGCTCCTCAGGAGCCCTGCAGGATGTGGTGACCTTTTCTGTTCTCTAACACGTTCTGTCTGGGATTCTGGGGCCTTTCACTGGGGGACAACGGTAAGTGGCCGCAGGGCCCCCACAGCAGCACGTCCACAGCAGCACCCTGCTTCTAGGGCACCCCACAGAGCCCCTGCACAGGCAGGAAGGGCCCAGACCAAGGCTGCAGCGCACGGGGACCTGCACAGATGGCACTGCTCACCAGGCTCAGGGGCAGCACCTTGGAAAGTCTCCAGGAAGCAGACGCTCTGGCCACCTGTCCCCATCTGGTAGACTGGGGACGGTGGCAATTAGCCACACAAGCCACGATGACCTATAAACAGAGGTGGCCACATGGGCTGCCCAGACACTGCACAATACCTCACAGAGTTACCAGAAAGCCAGGGACACCTCTGGAAAGAGGGTGGCTCAGAGCCGGAGAAAGGGAGGCAGCAGTGGCAGCAGGAAGATGGCGGCCAGGGCAGGTCTCATGGGCAGGCGACAGACCTGGGGCAAAAGCGAGCACCCCTCCTTGACGTCTTGCCTGGACAGTGCCTGTGACCGATGCCAGCCTTCCACTGGACACCTCCAGGCCCCCTACCAAAAGCATAAAACAGGCACAGGCGCCCCTCCCCCGACCTTCCCTGGCAGACACCACCCACAAGCTGGGGCGCTCGGCTGCTGTCCTCCTGGGTCCAGGTGTGGAGGCTGGGGCTAGAATCTGAGGCTCAGAGGCGGCTCAGGCTCTTGGAAGAGGCAGCCCTGCTGCAGGGCGCGACCCACCCAGAAACCACAGCCGTCCTCTCCTCTGGCCCCACCTTGACCTCTTGGTCCCTTCAGAACAGCCCATGCATTCCTGCGGGTGCCCGGCAGGAGCCGTGGGCATGCATGTGACCCATGATCTGCTCTGAAAGGAGCCATGGGGCCAGGCCCTCTTCCAAGGGGTCATGTGGGGCTCCCTCCTGGACAGCAGGCGATTGGTCTTTAAAGGGGGCTGCTGTTGGTGTTGGAGCAGGACCTGCGCTGGCCCCAGGTGCCCTCTGCAGGCAGGCCTGCTCCCCAGTCCAGCACGGGGCTGTGTGCAGGGTGCGGGAGGAGGCGGAAGGCGCCTTCCCTGCAGCGGCAGGGGGTGGGTTCCCAGGGAGGAAAGAGCCAGCTCTGAGGGCTGTGGGAGAGGACCCCGCCTGGCTCTCCTGCTGGGCCCCAGACCACCCTGAGCTGGGCGGGGCTTCCTGGGCTGCGTGGCTCAGTGGCTCACGGCGCCTCCCTTTCTGTTTGCAAGCCTCAGTGCGGAAGAAGAAGGGTAAGGGAAGTGCTTGTCTGTCTCCAGTCCTCCCGCCATCACACCCCCGAAGAGAACCCCTCTGTGACCACCTGTGCGTCTAGAGTGTGCCGTGAGCCCCTGTCTTTCCTCTGTGTCGGGGCCACCCAAGGCCCCAGCCTGGACCACGTCCTGCTTGGGTCTGTTCCGTCCCCCGGCCCCTCCTGTCTGTGGCCACCCTCAGCGTGCTCTGTATTTCCTCCCTGAGCTTATCCACATCACATGACCTGGAGCCTCCGGCCCCTCGGCCCCTCGGATGGTCACAGCCATGCCTGCCCTGGCTGGTGACTCCACACTCCCTCTGAGAGCCTTGCCAGAGCCTGGCCACACTGACTGGTCAGGGGGTGAGGCAGGAGCCCTGGTCCTAGCCCTGACCTGCCGTCTCCTTCACAGTGGGCAAAGACTGTCCCTGTCAACACTCAGTCTCCTTTGTGTGATGGGAAGGGGACTGACTGTGGGGTCTTTCAGAAAGGCTGTCGTGGGCCAGGAGGACAGGCAGACGGGCAGCTGCAGTGGCGGTGAGCAGCTAGGACAAGGCCGGTGTGCACCCCAGGAGCAGAACCCAGCCCTCCTCCAGAGCATCCCCATCTAGGGAGGTACTCTGCTGGCCACGGCCCCCCAGCACAGAGCTGGCAGGGAGCCAAACAAGCTGTAGGCCCTCGCATTCAAAACGCCTCTGCCCCAGGCTGGGAGGGGACCCTAGCAGGGCTCCAGGCATGAGCCTCAGGCCCCACCAGAGGTAGCCTGTAGATCCTGAAGTGGGGCGGGGTGTTGGGTTCCAGCAAGACCAGCACCAGGGCAGGATGGGCCCCGGGAGCAGGCTGCGGTGGCCGTCTCAGGTGCAGAGCACCAGCCTCTCCTGCAGCAGCCCCTACTTCACTGCCATGGGCCCAGGGTCACCCCTGCATCGAGGCCCTTGAGGGTCCAGGCATCTTGCTGTCATGGGGTCTCGGATCTCTGACCTCGCCTCCACCCAAGGCACAGCCCAGCTTCCCCTGGTGGGAGGCACAGCACCCTGGGCTGCCGGGGCCTGGCCCACAGCAGAGCTGGCCAAGGGAGGACCACCATCCAGGAGAAGCCTTGGGACCCGCAGAGGCCAAGCCTCCGTGGGCACCTGTGGCCTCCCCTTAGGGGCACCTCACGCAGACAAAGGCACAGCCAGGCAGAGCCACCCAGAGGACAGGCAGGGGTCATGCACCTGGCTGCAACTCGGAGCTGAAGTGCCCCACCCCAGACAGCACAGGAGGTGGGATGTGGCCCAGTCAGGGGGCTAAGGGACGCCCCTGCTCCCACAGCCACCAAGCACAGCTCAGCCCCAGCTCCCAGCATGCCCTGGGAGCCTTGCCTCACCTGCCGAGGGCACAGTGCCCTCCAGCCCCTCAGGGAGGCCTGCCCAGCCCAGCAGGGAGCACGCCCTACACCAGGAAGGCTGTGGGCCTTGAGCAGGACCCTGGCCTTCAAACTGGGCTCGAGAGTGTGTCTCCCAAATCAGAGTCTCTACAAATGGGACTTTCCTTGGAAATAAGGTCTTTCTGGTGGAGCCGAGATGCCGCTGTGCCGGGTCAGGAGGGCCCAAAGCCCCAGCCCTGTCCTGGTGAGAAGAAAGCACACGCCAGGGAATCCCAGGGCTTGCAGCAGCCACCGGGAGCCGGGGGCCAGGGAGGACACCTCGCAACAGCAAAGGGGACCATGGCCCTGCCCCACCTCTGCCGTGGACGTCCTGCCTCCAGAACCGAGCCGATAAACTCCTGTCCCCTTGAGCTGCCCGGCTCCCAGTCCTGATTCAGCAACCCCAGGAGACTCGTGGGACAGGGACGCACGCTCATCCCATGACCTCTCGCATGCCCTGCTGCGTGACCCCCAGTTCTTCCAGGCACCTGCCCGAGGCCCCAGACACTGGCACAAGCTCCAGGCAACAAGGCCACCATGGCTGGTCCTAGTGGACACACAGCAGCCCAGGGCGGCCCTGGCAGAGGCAGAGGCTTGAAGGCAGAGCGGGCTGGGGTGGGACGGACTTGCAGGATGGACGGAGACTTCCCATGTTCCCAACACCTCGGGCTGCACCACAGCCTGCCTGGGAAGGAGTGGCCCAGGTCACACCTCCTGCCCCTCCCCCAGCTCTGGGGAGAGGAAGCCAGAGGCGGCCCCACGGCAGCACATGGGGCGGCTTCCCTGGGTGTCTGGAGCAGGGTCCCGGAGGAAGCCTGTGCAGTGCTGCCCACTCTTGAGATGGGCACACACCCTGCCCTGTACGGGTGAGCAAAACCTATGCCCAGTGCCACACAGCAGGGAACAGTGGCCCTGGACAGACGGCCCCCAGGCCATCCCAGGCCCCAGGAAACAGTGGTGTACCCCACTGCTGGAGGGGCTAATGCACCTGTAGAACTCAGACACTTCCAGAACACCTGGTCTTGTCCTCCCCAAGAGCATCCTGAGGGACAAGGGGACATGGGTGCCCGCTCTGAATGGGCCTGGACCTGGAGTCTGGCTGCAGTACCACCTTGCACGGCCACAGGACAAGATGAGTTGCCTGGAGGGGGCTCCCCAGCAGGTTCTTGTAGCCAAACAGGCTTCCCTGTCTGCCAGGCCATTAGGGTCCCCATTCCAGGGGCTTGGGGACATCCTCCTGGTAAACAAAGCCAGCCTTGTCTGGCTCACTAGGCCCAAGGAGAGCAGCATGTGCCCACATCTGGGCACAGTCTTTCTGCACCCGCTCTGGCCGCCTGAGGCCCAGGTACTCACAGGCTGGGGGACAGGTGGGCAGGTGGGTGCTTCATCACTGAGAAACACCCAGAAAGTCTGAAAAGCCTGCCCAGAGCCCGCGCTACCCAGGGCCGAGTTCGCGACCCCTGCCCAAGGCGTCTGTCTTGTAAGGAGGGCGTCAGCTTGCCTGGAGGCTCAGAACAGAGCCCAGTGAGGACTGTTCCCAGTCACTAAGCACTGCAGGGGACCAGCCCACTAACTCCCCGTCCAGGCTCTGAACAGATGACCTGGGCTTTGTGAATCAAGCCTGACCCTCAGGGCCCCAATGAGAGGAGGAAGCTGTAATCTACCTTTGTGTCCTGGTAAACAAGTTCTGAAGGGTGGGGCTGAGTGGCCAGGTCACCAGCTCCCCTGGGCCCCGCAATCCAAGAGACAAAGGGGGAGCCCCCTCTTCCAGCTCGACCCCACAAACAGCACTACCTTCAGACACCGCAAACTTAGTGAGCATAGTTAGGATCCGTAAAAGATGAATCCTGCCCAGTATCAAAGAAATTAGCCCCAAACTCACTCTCACCATAACACTAGCTCTATCCCTAGCCCTAACCCTACCCCTAACCCTAACAAACCATCTTGCCCTCATGGTTCTGTGGGTCTCAGGTGGAGGTGGGAAGGGCAAAGGTCAAGGTGGCCACAGCTTCAAGAGACACTCCTCCTGTGGCAGGAGCACACCAGCTCTCTGGGTGTGACTGGTGAAGATGGTGCCCACCAATGCCCACCACCCTGCTCCCTAGCCAGCCAGACAAGGCAGGCGACCTGGCAGCAGCCCTAGCAATCCCCAAGTGTGGGTCCTGCTGCCATGGACCCCAAAGCTAGACGACCTGTCCAGATGGCTGGCAGGACTGGTGACCCTTGCCTGAGCTCAAGTGTACCTGGTCTCCCAGTCCCTACCTGTGTAACCCTAAGTGTCTCAGACCCTCAGGTGGTTTTCCTGTAGAATGGGGTAATCTCTCCCCTGGGAGAACTGGGAGGAAGGCCTCTCTCCCCTCCGGGGCCTGGCACTGTTGGTGAGAACAACGCCCCTCTGGCTAACCCTGGTGTACCCAGCATTTGCAGAAAGCTTGGGGGTTCTTGCGCTGGCCCTGTGGCCTTGGAACAAGGCCTGCTGCCCACTCCTTCTGAGCCCAGAACACTCCAGGGGCACTCCAAGGTTCAGGGCAGCAGGCCCAGAGCACGCGGGTGGGAGCAGGCCCACCCCATCAGCGCCCAGGAAGCAAACCTTGGCTTCTGGAAGGGGCCAGCCAGGACACGGCTTCTTGGGACTCCATGGCTCAACTCTCAGCCATAGGAGAGCTGCTCCTCCCGAGTCCTCCACCCCAGGGTGCCCAGACATGGTCCCCAGCACATCAGACCCTGGCAGAGTCCCCACCAGGGCCTTCAGCAAGGGCCACAGCCCTCTGCACCTTAGGTCCAGCCTCTGATGTGCTCAGAGCCCCACTGTAACTGCCAGCCACTGAGTTCATCAGGGCCCAAAGGCCAGGCCAGTGCTCCCTGGACCTCCCCCATGTCAGCCTGCAGCCAGCAGGGCGCCCTTGTGCACAGTCAGAGGCAGCGGGGCTATGCGGGTGCACCGGAGCCTACACCTGAAGTGCCCCACAGTCCCCTGGGCTGAAGTCCTTCTCCTGGAACTGAGCAGCACAGTCCCAGGGCTGCTGCGCCCCCAGGCCACACCCTTGGTGGGCGGCAGAAAAGGAGCCAGGGCTAGCACTGTCAAGAACTTCTGGTCCCCAGAGCAACTCTGGTGTCCCACTCACTGCAGTGGTGGCACGGAGCGCCCCAGGGCTGGACAGACCTCGGTCCCCTTCCTTGGAGAAAGATACTCTGGGGCAACCAGCAGCCACCCTCATCCAAGGCCAAGCCAAGCAGCCAAGAGGCCTAGCCTGCAGGCACAGACCAACAGGCCCCATGCATCCTAGCTGGCTCTCCAAAGCAGGCCACCCGGCCTCACCTGAGCCTGCCTCAGAGGGACAAGAGAACCTGCAGTGTCAGGGGACAGACACTGGCAGGAGGATCTGGGCCCGGGAGCGGGGGACGAGGGCCTCCATGCAGGGGAGGGTGGCAGAACTCAGTGTGAGGACACAGCTGATTGCCATCCAGGGCACCCCACTGCCATTAGGAACGAGAGTTGGGCGTTCCCCCCCGTCCTGCCCAGCCCCTGAGGGGCAGGTGCTCACCACACACCAGGGGACGTGCCTGCTCCTGGGGAGGGGAGCCCACAGAGCAGGGGAAGCTGGGAGTGGCCGCCTCATCAGGGGGGCAGGCACCTTGGGACCCACTCCACTTCCTGCTGGCAAGAGAGCTGGGGTGGGGTGCAGACGGGGCTTGCAGACACCTCCTTGGCAAGCCAGGCCGTCCCTGCCTCACCTTCCGTCCCTGTCACCATTCTTCCACTTCTTTCCCTTCCTCCTCTCTGGGTAACTCTTTATACGTGTGGAACTGCTCTGAGGTCAAGGGCAGGACTGGGCCTGCAGCTGGCCCCCTTGAACCCTGGAATCAAATGCCTTGACTGGAATCAACCCTCTTCCACGGTGTCAGGGTCTCACTTGGCTGCTCTGCGCGTTGCTGACGCCCCCACGACCCCTTCCCTCTACACCTGCTCATGGGACCTGGTCTGCCCTTCAGAAGGCCATGCTCTCATACCGGGTGACTAGGTGGCAGTGCAGCTCCAGGGATTTGGTGGCGGGTCAGTTTCAAGAAGAGACAAGAATGTTCTACTGTGGAAAGAATGAGTGGGAAAGTATCACAGTGGGGACTCCTGGGTGTCCCACCAACTTCCTGAACACACTGTCGAAGTCCCAGCCTTGGGTATAGGACCCTTGTCTTGAAACATGCATTTAGCTGCCAAAAAGAACCACATTTCGGAGCGTCTTTGAAATTCTAGCAGTCAGTTAACACGACCCAAAACAGATCCCAGAAGTGAGGATACAGCCTCCTCGGGAAACCCAGAGCCTGAGGTGCTGTGGTCTTGCTTCGCCACCTGTCCACGTGCACCCCTGGGGAGGCCATGTGGGCGCTGAGGGGGGTGCACGGGCCAGGGAGAGGTGCATGGCCGAGTCCCTCGCTGCTGCACCCCGCCTCCTCCCCATCCAGCCCTGCCCTCCTGCCTGTGCTTGGCCCCTCCAACCTCACCTTGTGTTGCAGATAAACCAGAGGAGACGGTCCCGGCCCCCAAGCCCTCCCGCACGGCTGAGAGCATGGCCATGGAGACCAGAGTGGCCACCATCAAACAGCGGCCCACCAGCAGGTGCTTCCCAGCAGCCTCAGACATGAACGTGAGTGACTGTGTCCCCAGGACGAGGGATGGCGGTCTAGAGGCACACAGAAGCAGGGGTCAGAGCAGGTGCAGAGGACCTCCCAGGCGTGCAGACCATGCCCCTGCCCTGCCCTGCCCTGCCCTGCCACAGGGGCCTCAACACTGGCACTCAGCCCCCAGCCTCGAGGGCGACCCCCCCATGTGCAAGCTGAGGACCACTGAGCTGTGGCCAGAGAGGCCCTCAGGAGTGCTCCTCAGACACAGCCACTCTGGGGTGGAAGAAGCCTCTGGCCACCACCGCACAGAGGTCCATCCTCTGGTGGACTCTGAGGATGGACGACACACCCTCAGCACAGGGCCGAACCTGAGACTCACCTCGGCCCCGCCGCGGGCCGGAAGCACTCCCTGCTGGCTCAGGGAGCAGCGGCCAGGCCGCAAGAGCAGGGCTTCTCAATACCCGCCGCGCCAGGCAAAGGCAGTGCTGCCGGGGCGGGGCCTGGGCCGGGGCTCACTGGCTTCAGTGTCCCCCGCCTGGCCCCGCTCTGAGCACTGCCCTTTACAACAGTGTGGCTTAGTATTCTCGTGATTCAGCTGATCACCACACGAGCCCCCAAACTCCCCAAGCCTGATACGTGAGCTCTCCCTGAGCCCTGAAACAAACGTCACCAAGGACGGCGGGGACCAGAGTGCTCAGCCCCAGTCTCACCTCCCGAGCTGCAGGGCCACACTGTGTCCCTGCCGTGCCTACACGCCCCACCCTGTCCCCACACCCCTCCACCCCTGCCCTGTGGGACAGCTGCCCTTGCCGTCCTGGGAGCAGGCCCTGGCCTCCCTTCCCCAACCTCAGGGAGAGCTACAGAGCGAGATGGACGGGGCAAGGCCGTCCTCGGGTGCCCCCTGGGAGTGCACATCTGGCCTCCTGCTCCTCGGGTCGGGCAGCAAGCTCAGCCTGGCACAGCAGCCCTAGGAAGACCTGGGCAGGGGCTGGTGGAGGCCACGCTGGAACACAGCCTCGAGGTGGAGGAGAGGAGCTCTGGGCTCCTCCTAGAGCAGGCCTGGGGGTGGGGGGCGAGGCGGGGCCAGCCCCTGGCCACAGGTGGGTAGGCTGCTGCAGGGCCGTCCTGCTTGCCAGACAGCGCCCATGCCTGGTCTTCTTCACACATGCTGTGGGGCCAGCATTAGCCCACTGTGCAGAGCAGGACTATAGAGGCCCTGCTTGAGGATGTGGCCAAGGCCACAGGGTACAGCCCACGTCACACCCCACTGCCACTGTGCTCATTCTCACAGGACACCTGACCTGGCTCCATTCCACAGAGCCTTGTCCAGCTGCTCTGGTACAGGGTGTCCCTAGAGCAGCACGTGCCTGCTTCCCACACTGTTGGAGCTGTCGGAGAGGCAGAGGGGCTGCCCGGTCTCCACGCAGCCCCGCAGCACCCTGGAGATCTGCCTTGCTCCGGAACCACCTGGGCCTGTGGCGGTGCAGGGACCTCCTTGCTGCCCTCTGGTCGAGACCAGCCAGGACGTGTCTCACCCAGCTTTCTGGTTTGCAGTCTGTGTACGAGCGCCAGGGGATCGCTGTGATGACACCCACAGTTCCCGGGAGCCCGAAAGGCCCGTTTCTGGGCCTCCCCCGAGGTACGATGCGAAGGCAGAAATCCATAGGTAAGAAGCACTACCTAACCCAAAGAAGGGGCCCTTGGGAGGTCTGGCCTCGGGCCAGGCTGTCTAGCTGCTCCCCGAGGCCTGCCCGGGGGGGGGTGCCCAGGTCCCCCACCAGGCAGCCACTGAACAGCGCAGAGCAGGAAGCCCTCCCGCCCCTGCAGACAGGCAGTGCGGCTATGGTCTCTGATCTGACGGCTACTTGTAACCGCGGGGTGAAGGGGCCATGAGCCAGAGGGGAAGGTGGGGCCCGTGGGAAGGGCAAGTGGAACAAGCTCACGGGACATGTCCGTCCGGGAGGCTGGTCAGCTCTCCAATGGCAAGGACAGCACGCTGTCCTGGAGAGCAGCTCCCACCCGCTGGGGCCATCCCAGTTGCTGCCTCGACTCTGACAGGCAGGGAGGCCTGACCCTGGACGCAGTCCCTTTGGGAGAGAATGCAGACCTGTCCTTGCCCTGTAAACTGCTAGAAGCCAAGGCCACTGCTGGACATGGAGGGCCTGCCACATACACAGGGTGAAAGCGTCCACCCCAACGTCCGGCTGCCCCGGGGACCCAGCTCTGGTTCTGGAGTTCTGGGGCTGTAGTGTGAAGAGGAGGCGGCGGGCAGTGACAAGGGGGTGGCGGCTGCTCCTGAGCCCGCCCTCCTGCGGAGCTGCCCACTCCCGTGATGTCTCTGATCCTTACTGGTTGATAACGACTGATTTCCTCCCTGTCAGACAGCAGAATCTTTCTATCAGGTAGGTGGAAGCCTCCAGCTTGGAATCTGCCCTTTATATAAGGTGCATTCCAAAATCGCACTCCTCGGAACACACCTGCCGGCGTCGGCATGTAGCCAAGGCCCCACTGAGAGGCGGTCAGCACCAACCTTGCAGGCCACCGCCTTCCCACGGGGAGTGGGTGCCGTTTGGAACACCCATATCAAGTTTCCACTGGAATCAGTCATTTGTCCTGGGAACTTTTTAAATTTCGAGTAGTCCACTTTGCTGCCCTAGAACCCTGCATGCCCGACGCACAGCTGTGGTCCCTGGGTCTGTTGTGTGTGTGGCTTCTGTTCCTGTGCTCGTGCCTTGTGCTGTGCTCCAGTCTGTAGTCACCCCAGTCACCATGCAGAGCGTGCTCCAGGTACACCGTGGTGTCCCCAGGGCCATAGTCACAGCCCACTCGCTTTCAACACCCACCAGCTTTGGACAATTGTCTCAGAACATGGCTGTGAGCTTGTGCCCTCCACCGGGGCTGCAGAGAGCCCTAGACAGGCCAGTGCGGAGCCTCTGGGCTGAGCCCACGGCGCCCTCGGCCCCTGCCTAGTGCCTGCTCGGGAGCCTGTGGCCATGTGGGTCGGAGTCTTTGGTTTGAGGAAGGCTCCCTCCCTCGTGGCAGTTCCAGAGCCAAAATGGCCCTACCTCTGACCAGCCCACTCACAGCCATCCTGCCAGGGACCCAGGGGCTCGCTGTGCACAGCCCTCTGTGCGGCTCCTACATCTCCCAAGAGGCCATCACAGTGATGCCACAACCCCTGTCAGCACAGTGAGACCACCAGAGACACAGCTCTGCTGCTGGTAGAGGGTCTGCCACACACATGGGCAGCAACCACAGGGCTCACATGCCACCTGACCAGCAGCGGCATCTTCAGCACTGCCCACCCACACCAGCGGGCAGACACAGTGGCACCTACTACCCTCAGGCCCCCGGCCTCCAGAAGACGGGTGACAGCTGCAGACCCCCAGGGCCAGGCCACACCTGAAAGGGGCAGGGACAGAGGAGGGTCCAGCTGGTGTGGCCAGCCCACCCCATCTGAGACTGCGCACACACACACACAGCTAGGAGGGGTTGGTGACCCAGGCGTGGCCTAAAAAGCCGCACACGCCCGTCTCTGGGCCGGGCCCTGGCCTCACGGGCCCCACAGTGTACCTGGAGAAGGGCTCCTGCACGTGTCCCCTGTGCCCAGGGCCCGCTTTTCGTTCTTTTCGTGGCCCAGAGTGGGTTGCACAGCGAGCTCTGGTGTTGCGGCCTGTGCCGTGTGCGGTGCCGGGTGGCGAGCGCGGCTGCATGACCTGAGACCCGCAGTGGGCTGGGCCGCAGCTGGGATGCCAAGCTCAACCCGCTTTCTGCCTGCAGGAATAACAGAGGAAGAGCGGCAGTTCCTGGCCCCTCCGATGCTGAAGTTCACCAGAAGCCTGTCCATGCCGGACACGTCCGAGGACATCCCCCCTCCACCGCAGTCCGTGCCCCCGTCTCCACCTCCACCCTCCCCCACTGCCTACAACTGCCCCAAGTCCCCAACTCCGAGAGTCTACGGGACAATCAAGCCTGCGTTCAATCAGAATCCTGCTGCCAAGGTGTCCCCCGCCACCAGGTCTGACACAGTGGCCACCATGATGAGGGAGAAGGGCATGTTCTACAGACGAGAGCTGGACCGCTACTCCCTGGACTCCGAGGACCTCTGCAGCCGAAGCGCGGCCCCCCAGGCCACCTTCCGTAGCAAGCGGGGCCAGATGCCCGAGAACCCGTACTCGGAGGTGGGGAGGATCGCGAGCAAGGCCGTCTACGTGCCGGCCAAGCCCGCCCGGCGGAAGGGCATGCTGGTGAAGCAGTCCAATGTGGAGGACAGCCCCGAGAAGACATGCTCCATCCCCATCCCCACCATCATCGTCAAGGAGCCCTCCACCAGCAGCAGCGGCAAGAGCAGCCAGGGCAGCAGCGTGGAGATCGAGCCCCCGGCCGAGCAGCCCGGCCAGCTGCGGCCCGAGGACGGCCTGGCCTCCAGCAGCCCCTTCGCCGCAGCCATTGCGGGGGCTGTGCGTGACAGGGAGAAGCGGCTGGAGGCCAGGAGGAACTCCCCAGCCTTCCTCTCCACGGACCTGGGGGATGAGGACGTGGGCCTAGGGCCGCCTGCCCCCCGGATGCGGCCCTCCAAGTTCCCAGAGGAGGGTGGGTTTGGCGATGAGGACAGTGCAGAGCTGCTGGTGTCGCCCACGCCGGTGGCAGCGCCAAGAGAGCCCGAGAACCATTTTGTGGTTGGTGGCGAGGCCGGTGCTCAGGGTGAGGCCGGGAGGCCCCTGAATCCCGCATCCAAAGCCAAGGGGCCCGAGGGCAGCCCAGCGGCAGCCCCCAAGAGCAGCAACGCCGTCAGCCCGGAGAACTACGTCCACCCGCTCACCGGGCGCCTGCTGGATCCCAGCTCCCCACTGGCCCTGGCACTCTCCGCAAGGGACCGAGCCATGAAGGAGTCCCAGCAGGGGACCAAGGGGGAGGCCCCCAAGGCTGACCTCAACAAGCCTCTCTACATTGATACCAAAATGCGGCCCAGTGGGGACACTGGCTTCCCTCCCGTCACCAGGCAGAACACCCGGGGGCCCCTGCGCCGACAGGAGACGGAGAACAAGTACGAGACAGACCTGGGCAAGGACCGGAGAGGTGGGGACAAGAACATGCTGATCAACATCGTGGACACGGCCCAGCAGAAGTCAGCCGGCCTGCTGATGGTGCACACTGTGGATGCTGCCCAGCTGGGCGGTCCCCTGGAGGAGGAGGAGGAGAGAGAGGACATGGACGTGACACTAGACCACCCGCCCTCCGCGGTGCCAGAAGGTGTTTCCGACACCGAAGGTGCTTTACAGATCTCCGTCACCCCCGAGCCCGCCACCGTGCCCGGCAGGACCATTGTGGCCGCGGGCTCCATGGAGGAGACGGTGGTCTTGCCATTCCGCATCCCTCCCCCCCCCCTGGCATCCGTGGACTTGGATGAGGATTTTGTTTTTACAGAGCCATTGCCTCCTCCCCTGGAATTTGCAAATAGTTTTGATATTCCTGATGACCGCGCTGCTGCTGTCCCCACTCTCACCGACTCGGTCAAGCAGAAGAAAACCGATGCCCCTCCGTCCCCTTCGTTGAACTCCAGCCAGCCAGCCAACCCCGCGGACACCAAGAAGCCAGCCGGCCTTTCCAACTGCCTGCCCGCCTCCTTCCTGCCACCTCCCGAGAGCTTCGACACTGTCGCCGACTCTGGGATCGAGGAGGTGGACAGCCGCAGTAGCAGTGACCACCATCTCGAGACAACCAGCACCATCTCCACGGTGTCCAGCATCTCCACCCTGTCCTCTGAGGGCGGGGAGGGCGTGGACACCTGCACAGTCTATGCAGACGGGCAAGCGTTCGTGGTCGACAAGCCCCCCGTACCTCCAAAGCCAAAAATGAAGCCCATTATTCACAAAAGCAATGCACTTTATCAGGACGCGCTCCTGGAGGAAGACGCGGACAGCTTCGTCATCCCCCCACCTGCGCCCCCGCCCCCACCGGGCAGCGCCCAGGCTGGGCTGGCCAAGATCATCCAGCCAAGGACCTCCAAGTTGTGGGGTGATATCACGGAGGTCAAAAGCCCGATTCTCTCAGGCCCAAAGGCGAACGTTATTAGTGAATTGAACTCAATCCTGCAGCAAATGAACCGAGAGAAATCGGCAAAGCCGGGGGAAGGACTGGACTCGCCGGCAGGGGTCAAGTCCGCCAGCCTAGCTCCAAGGTAAGTTCACAGATGGCTTGGGCACACACTGTCCAGTGCTGCCCACGAAAGTCCTGAGGGAGAACCAAGAGGATGAGAAGAGGGATTCCTAACCCTGTGATGGCCACACTGTCGGCCATAACCGCGTGTCACCCTCCAGACTCTGGGACGGCAGAGTCAAAGCCGCAGCTGTCCTGGCAGGAGACAGCGCTCCCTCCTCAAGACTCCCTCCTAATGAGATGAAGGGGCACAAAGCCCCCCGCCCTGGCCTCCGAGATGAGCTCAGCTCTCCTGTGTGACCAGACCTTTGCCGGGACCACTGCGAAGGCCAGGTGGAGGCTCGCTGAGCCCAGGTCGAGGTCAGCGCTGCCTGACAAGAGCGGCCACGGCAGCGGCCTTAGTGAGGGGCGGCGAGGGGGGTTGACGGGTGGCGAGGGAGTGTCTAAACACATGCGTGTGGGCTCTTACCCCTCCCTCCATGGCCAGCGGGGGGAGGGCTGGGAGGTGCCGCCCAGGGCAAACGTCACGAAGGAAAAGCCCCAGGTGGCCCAGCTGCCACTCACATCGTCACACAGGTAGTAGTCACTCCCATGGGAGCTGGGGTGACAGAGGAGGAGCCAGCAGGCTGCCCTGGGTGGAGGGTAAAGCTTGCTGTCTGCCCAGGCAGGGTGCCCAGGCTCCTGTCCTGACTGAGGAAGTCCTTCTGCAGGCCCTGCCCAGGGCCGCCCCTTGGGGCAGCGTTCACTCGCAGTGACTGTGATCTGCAGCTGGGCCACGCTCTTCCCCGCTGCCTTCCAGTGGGGCTCCCACTGCTCTCAGGGGAGGGTGGGGGCATTTGTCGCCACTGCTCCTGGGCCTCCACCGCCAGTGACATCTGCGAGCACCTCCAGGTGGAGGGATCCTCGCGGGCTGCACCTGCCGGGCTCCCTGCTCCTGGAGGAAGAGAAGGTGCCCGCACACAGGCAGAGCCTCAGGAAAGCGGATCACCGCCAGCCCGTCCTTCCCGGGAGGTAACACCACAGGTGCTCTCTGCTTTGTCATTTTGATACCGGAGATCAAACACAGGGCTTCACATACACCAGGTGGCCCTCCAAGAGCTCCCTCTCCAGCCACAGTAGGCTCTTTATGTTCTGCCACTGAATCCTGTGACAGAGCCACCAGAAGGCCACACCTCAGTGCTCCACGTCCATGAGAAGCTCTCGGGTGGACAGTGTTGAGGACAGCCGGGGGCAGGGGCCCAGGTGCAGCCGCCTCTCCCGAGGGCTGAGTGGCTTCCCAGTGCTGGGCCTGCAGGAGCCAGAGCAGGATGCAGACTCCTCAGCACAGGCCACAGACAGGAGGGTGCCAAGAGGGAGTGACTCCGGGGCCAGGGAAGCAGATCCACTGTTGAGGCCCCAGCAGCTCACCTGAGCCAGGGTCTCCGGTATGTCCACCCGGGGAGCCCAGGGACTACAGCCACAGAGGCCGCCAAGCACCTGCTGGCCCACCTGCTCCAGTCCCTGTAGGTGGGACAAGAATGGCTTGCTCCCAGCCAAGTGGGACTCCACCCTGCTCTGACTCTAGGGCCTTCCTGTCTTTGCCCAGGTGGACACTGGGCAAGGAGGAGCCTCAGAGAAGCCGTCACCCGACGAGACCTCGGCCTGCACTGTGAAGCAGCTGCCTAACGCAGGGTGCAGTCCCACCTGCAGGCCTGTGGTCACTTTCGCTTCACAGCCAAGGAAACAGCCAGGGCTGTGGAGCTCGGTCCGCCCTCCCAGTGGGCTGCCCTGGTCTGACCCCTGACCTCCTGCAGGAGCCAGGGCCTTCACCAAGCAGAGGGCCAGAGGGCTAGTGGGCAAATGCGGGCTGAGGCTGTCTAGGCCACAGGCTGCGCCCAGCGATGGACTCTCCCAGGCAAGCGGTCACCAGGCGGCCCAGGGCGTGTGCAGTCCTTCCCGCTCCCAGCCGAGGGCTGCCCTAGGCGCTGGGCGAGGCAGGGGAGGCCGCGGCTCAGGCGCTCACTGCAGCACTCCGACCAGCTCTCAGGAGTGCCAGCACAAGCTCTCTGAGGGACGAGGTCGGGACAGCAGTCCCCGTCACCACCAGTAGGTCCTGGGGTGGCCGGGGCCTAGCTGCCCCTGGCCCTGGGTGCCCGCCTCTGCCAGCTGGCTAACAGGCCTGGGCTTTACCCACGTGGTGGCACACAGGCCACCATCCTCAAATGCATCCAGAAATCAAGAGCTATGAATGGCCCTGAGCAAAATGAGGCTCGGAATTGGGTGGAGAAGCGCCTCCAGAGGAACACGGCGAGTGTTTCTGGAAACCAGCGGGCTTCTGAAATGGCAGGCAGCCCGGGCACAGCCAGGAGAGGCGCCAGCTGAGCAGGGCCACTGCCCGCACACTGTGGGCAGAGGCTGCCCTGATCTGTCCACTGCTCCTGGAATCTTGCCTGACAGCTCTGCGGTGAGACCACCCCTTGCGCATCTTACTAGACCCCAGCACAGGGTCCAGGGACGATGGCTGTGGTACGTCTGACCTAACCTGAGCCAAGACTGAGTCTCTGCTGTTCCCTGAGGTCAGGGTGGTGTGGAATCTGGAGACACCTGGACTACGAGTGTGTTGCTGCCCAAAGGAAGCCATCGGGAAGTGTCCTTTAGGACAGCGTTGGGTGAGAAGACCCTGGCCAGAGATGCCTTCCAAGACAGGAGCCACCGGGCAGTTCTCAACCACCAGCCTGATTATGCCAGGGAAGAAATCTCATCACTGGGCACAGTAGGTCCAAGCAGAGACGGGCACAGGAGTGGGGAGCTCCCCCAGAAGCCACTGCCATGGCTCCCCAGGACCACTGGCATGGGGCCTGAGGACCCAAGAGGTGTGTAGATGCTGGCCTGCACCCTGCTTTTCACCGTTTGTGACCCTGGGTGACATCTCAGTGCACCTGATTTCCACTACACTGAAAGTGTGGCTTGAGTGGTGTTCTTGTCACCTTGCAGACCCAGGAGGAGAGGGCTCAGGGGTCTTGGTTAAAGTCACATGCTGGGGACAGACAAGCTACCCAAATGCAGACCTGGAAGATGGGCTGGACCCAGTTTGGGGCTCAGAACCACAGCATGGCCCACAGTGTCCTGAGCCCACGGGTCAGCCATGTTGCTGAGCCCAAGAGACACCAGGCCTGGGGTGCAGACAGCGGGGCTGGGGCTCTTCAAACGGACAGCAGACCCGGCCAGCAGCAGCAGCAACTGCAACTGGTGCCCACGTGTGCTGGGCACCATGCTGAGCCTGGGCTTGTCACTGGTCAGGAAAGCACGCGAGGCCACTCTTTCTTGGAGGAGCTCGAATTCCCAGAGGAAACCACCAATACATGCTGAACAAGAGACCCAAGTGGACAGATGCAGCAAGGAACCATGGTTTGCTGGCCAAGCGGCCTGGACAGAAGAGCCACCACTCAGGGAGTGACACTGGAAAGACATAGAATACACAGAGGAGCCACAGTCAGAAACCGAAGCAGAGCTCAGGTGGGGGATGGCAAGGCGCGGGGCGAGCACAGCACCCAGGCCAGCAAAAGTGTTCTCCATGTCAGGAGACCAGGCCAGGAGGGAGGGCAGGTGACCCATGGGCTGGCAGCCACCCCAGGGCTCACCAACGCAGGTGTGACTCCACTTTTGCTTCCTAAAGACACAAAGGCTGCTGCGCGGCCAGGGGCAGGGGCCGGCACAGCGACACAGGGCTGGGGGCTGCTGTGGGGGTCCAGGCCTGAAGCAGGACAACAGGGTGATTTGAGAGGTGTGCCTGAGGAACCTGGAGAGCCAGCACAGCCTGCCCAGGCGTCAGCCTTACCAGTGACCCCAGGGTCCTCATGGCCAGATAAGCCTGCCCTTCGTTGGCACATCAGGAAAGGTCAGCTTCGCTTCATCTGTCACGAGAGGCGACGAGGGGCCTGTGGGTCCCTGTGATTCCACCAGAGGGCGGGGCTCAAGCTGGGTGCCCTCTGGACAACCAGCCCTTCGCGGTGGGAGCAGAGGGATGTCCAGGTTGGCTGTCACCTACAGCAGTAGGGATGGGCTCAGAGAGAGTCATCCCATGGGAGTGAGGTCCCCAAGACCCCTGGGCAGGTTCCAGCTGCCCAGGGAATGAGTTTGGGCCAGCTCTTAGAAAAGCCACCTCCAGCCCCACTGTCCTTCCGAAGGCCCCCACAGTACAGCATCTGCCCCCTTGCCTGTTCCTCCAACAGTCACAGCTCCGTGTTACCCTGACTGGATTTTAAACTGAGTCGAGATGGGCTGTTAAAAACTCTCTGTGCCTGGCTGGAGGTAGAGCCCCCTCCCTGGAAGCCACGTGGAAGCTGCTAATAGGGGCTGCAACCTCAGTTCCACTATGGGGGCCTTCATGACCCCCAGCACCAAGTGACTGGGAAGGCCATGTCAGCGAGTGGCACTGTAGGTGGTCTGGTGAATGGCACTGGAGAGGCCCTGGAATGTGTAGCAAGGGGAAGCTCTGTCCCAGGGGCACCTGGCCCCTGCTCGTCAGGTGGCAGGCTGAGTGCTCCTTCTGTCCTGGGCCAGGCCCTAGGGACTGAAAATAGAGCAGGTCCTGGCAGTGCCCTGGGTGATGGTGGCGTCTGGAGTGGAGAACCGCTGGCGGTTCCGGGGGAGGCATTGTCTTGGGCAACCCCCAAGGCTCAGGCCCAGGGCAGATGGTACCCCCAGTTCCCTCTTCAGTGCCCTACACGTGCAGAGGCTGGAGAGTGTAACTCAGGGACAGGGCAGTTTGGAAGGAGGCGCCCACTCAGGGCTCATCTCCAAAGCCATACAGTGAGTCACACAGGGTGCTTGGCTCAGGAAGGATTTGGGGCTCTGCACCTGCCTGGCCCGTGAAGGGCAGATGGGCCTGGGGAGCCACCGTCAATGAGCAGCCTCTGGCCGCCAGGGCTGCTCAGGAGCCCACCTGAGTTTGCAAACAGGGTGAGAAGGCGCCTGCAAGCTCACCTCCATGATCACCTCCATAATCATGTCCTGCCCGTGGAATGTCCCACTTAACTCCTGGGCTGTTTTTTTTTTTTTTTTTAAGTCTCATGTTTCCATATGGATTTGATTTAAAAGGCAGACTAGAGAGTGATCATCCAAGAGAGGGAGTGTGTGAGTGTCGTTCTAAATCAGGGCAACAGATTCCTGTGTGTTCCGCCTGCAACCCAGCGGTTGCTTAGCAACATAATGATCCCGCCACAGGAGGATCCAGGGAATCATGCCGGGTGGTGAACCCTGGGAATCACTGCTGAGGAGGTGGGGGTGGGCCAGCCGGGCCCTCGTTCTGCTGCTAGGACTCTGTGGCCCTCTGCTGTTAGCCATGCTGGGCAGGGGCACTGGCATGGTTAGCCTAGCTGGCTGACATCCCATGGTAAGACGGCAAAGCCCTGGTCCTGGTGGGGTGGCATTCCCCGCCACGCATCTGGATGATGAGTCCTGAGCTGTGGAAGGGAAACTACCACCCGGGAGCCAGGGCTGGAACCAGAGCTGGAGAACCGGCAGCAGGCTCATCCCTAGAAGGCACCAGACAGAGGAAGGCACCCTTTGGTGCCACCCTCCAGCATGTGTTCTCCTGAGTCAAGGAGGCGAGGCCATGGAAGGCAGGCCTGTGCTGGGCGGCCAGCCAGGCAGGCACTGCAGTGGCCAGGGTCCACACCGCCAGGCAGGCACTGCAGTGGCCGGGGTCCAACCCCAGGCAGGCACTGCAGTGGCTGGGGTCCACACTGCCAGGCAGGCGCTGCGTGGCCAGGGTCCAACCCCAGGCAGGCGCTGCAGTGGCCAGGGTCCACACGTCACTCATCCCGTCCTGCGGCAGCTCTGTCCTGTGCCCTTTGATTGGTTTTGCAGTGCTGTCTCAGTCGCTCCGTGTGTCATTCCCACCCGCTCCCACGCTGGTGCTTGCAGAAGAGGGTCGTGCTGAGCAGAAGTAAGTGCCGTCTGCCAAGCTGGGCGTGGTCTGCTGTGTGCTCTGTCCCCTCCTCTGCCCACCCAGGGGTCGGGAGCCTCATCCCTGCTCCTGATGGCGCAGCTGCCTGCAGAGCCTTCTTTACCACAAGTCCAGCTCTGCCTACAGGGGCCACGGGGCAACCAGCCACTGTCCCCACAGGAGCCTGATGAGCAGCAGCCAGGTGTCTCCCAACAGTACCACACACAGGCTTCAGCCAGTGGCTCTGGAACGAGCTTCCTGCCCCGCCCCCTGCAGGAAGTGTAGGGAAGTGTCTCTGGCAGTCCTCACCTCAGACCCCTCCCCCTTCCCAAAAGCCCAGGCTGGGACAGACCCCAGCAGCCACTCCTGCCAGGTTGCACACCTACTTGCAAGTTAATATTTTAACTTTCTTAGCCCAGTTGTTCTTGCAAAGTAGAAACAACTGGCTCCCCAAATGCCACCCTGCAGCTGTAGAGGGGCAGACAGGCTGCTCACCCCTGTGGGCTGCAGCCTGTTCCAGCTGGACCTGGAGCAGGACAACCCTACCTGAGGAGGGTGGGGCTGTGTGTTCCCAGCCCACCTCCCCTGCAGACCCTAAGCCCAGATCCTTAGGACGCCCACTCCTCCCCAGCCTGCAGGGCCTGCTGGGCTCCAGGGTCTTCCTTTGACTGAGTCTCGGTGTCTCATTGGGGCTGCCTCAGACCTTTGGGTACAACCAACATGCCAGTACCTCTAATGGCCACCCGCCCCAGGCAGATCCTAGATGGGGCTGCCCACCAGGGACACCCACCCTCCAGGAAACTACCTGTGAGCACCTGGGTGTCTGGGCACCCTGGTCCTTAGGGCACGCCCACCAGCCCCTGCAACCCTTCTCACCAAAGGGCTGCTGCGGCAGTCCACAGCACAGGCCTCCCACACCCTGGGACGTCCCGTACTTAATGGTGATAATGACCTCAGAGGCGAGGGCCAGTGGCTGGCTGGCTGGTGACTTCGTCTAACACACGGTAGCTGAGACAGAGGCCGGGAGAGCAACCACAGCCCCCTGCGGCCTGCAGCCCTCTCACTGCTGGGCTCTGTGGCGGGTCTGCCCATGGGCACTCAGCAGGGCCTAAGCAAGGCTCCCGAGGCCCAGGGTCCATCAGAACAGATGGCCCAGACCCAGCAGTCCACCTCAGGAGGTCTGAGAGGGTCAGGAGGCTGCATTTCCCACTGGTCTCCCGGGAGGCGACGGGGAACATGTGGGGCTCAGCTCAAGGGGTGCACAGAGTGAGGCGCAGCAGGCACCTCTGAGAGCTCCTCCTGAGGGCCCTGGAGCAGGGTCTGTCCAGAGGGGAAAGCGGGTTGTCCAGTCACACGAGACAGCCCAGGAGGCGAGAAAGAGCAGCTCGCACCTCTGCAGCACTGTGAGCACAGGTGGCAGGACATCCAGGGCTGCAGAGCAGGAACCAGGGCCCACTGGGGTGCATGTCCTTCCTAGGGGTGGCTACAGAACTGCTGCCAGAGGCCTCAAAAGCCAGCAAGGGACACTTCATCGGCCATGAGCCCCATCCGGGCGAGGAGGGACAGGTCCTCCCCAGCGCTCCAGGCAGCCAGCCATTCCCGCTGGGCCAGTCGGGGTGGGATGGAGGAGAGTCGAGCCTGTCTCTCCAGCTCTGAGGGCTTTCCTGCCCACTCCAAGGACCCCCATGGCCACCACAGGGGAACAAAGTTGTTCAGACATCTGCTCCAGTGAGGCCCACCCACCCTCCTAGCAAGTCCATGAGGGGGACCCCTCAGTGAATCTAACCATGCTGCATCAAGAGTCCAGTCCGCATCGGGCAGGGTCACTGGTCACTGGTGAAGCTGACCTCTTGTGGCGCAACACACTGACCACCCGCTCCTCGTCCTCCGGGTCAGGGGAGGGCTTCCTCCAAGCCTGAGTGGCCTGTAGCCAGGGCCCTCTGTGCTGAAGCAGGCCCATCCCTGCTTGTCCTGAGACCAAGGACTGCCGGGCAGCTGAGGGAGGGTCCTCGCCAGTGCAACCCTTACTGGCCCCAGCAGAGGCGTGCCGCGCCCTCGAGAGGTGCACCCGAGTGGGAGGCTTGTGTGCTGTGGTGTCCCCGAGGCCCCTGCTTCCCCTCCTCCTGCCCAGGGCATGGCAAACTGTTTGCTCATTGCCAGTGCGTCTGCCAGGGGGCACTCTGGTGTGGTGTGGTGCCTCCCCTGTCCTCCTCAGTGACCTGGCTTGTGACGGTTTTCTCTGTTGCTGTTTCAGAAGCCCAGAGGTCATGAGCACCGTCTCAGGGACTCGGAGCACGACAGTGACCTTCACCGTCCGACCTGGCACCTCGCAGCCCATCACCCTGCAAAGCCGGCCCCCCGACTACGAGAGCAGGACCTCAGGAGCGAGACGTGCCCCCAGCCCCGTGGTCTCGCCAACCGAGATGAACAAGGAGATCCTGCCCGCCCCGCTGTCGGCAGCTGCCGCATCTCCTTCTCCCACACTCTCGGATGTCTTCAGCCTTCCAAGCCAGCCCCCTGCCGGGGATCTATTTGGCTTGAACCCAGCAGGTCGCAGCAGGTCGCCATCTCCCTCCATACTGCAGCAGCCAATTTCAAATAAGCCTTTCACAACTAAACCTGTGCACCTGTGGACTAAGCCAGATGTGGCCGACTGGCTGGAGAGCCTGAACTTGGGTGAGCACAAAGAGACCTTCATGGACAACGAGATCGACGGCAGCCACCTACCAAACCTCCAGAAGGAGGACCTGATAGACCTCGGGGTGACGCGGGTCGGGCACAGGATGAACCTAGAGCGTGCTCTCAAGCAGCTGCTGGACAGATAAGGCCGGCTGCTCCCGCCCGGACTCCCTGTTATAAGTAGAGATGGGCTCACGCTGGGATCTGAAGGCCAAGCGGAGTCTGAGCATCAACCCCGCTCCATGGGTTTGTCTCCTGGTACCCAAAGAAATGCTGCGGGCGTCCGTGGTGTGTCTGAGCCGAGGCCTGGAGGCCTGGCTGTCCACATGGGGTTCCTGGGTGGCTTCTGTCTCAAGGGGACAGGGGAGGGAGTTCCAACACGGGAAGATTCCCAGCCTACCTCCCAGCACACAGGCAGCCTCGCTTTGCTGGGTCCACGAGGCTCCGTCGGTTTGGCGCGGGACCCCTGCTCTCGTAGGCAGACAGCGTACTCCAGATACCTCCTGAGCCTCCCTCCTCTGCTTCCTGGGCAGCTCTCATCACCCCAGGCCCCGGCACAAGGCCTGTCCTCAGTCCTGTGGCTTCTCGGAGGACACTCCGAGCTCACTGGCTCCCACCTCTTCCCCGAACTTGCGTGCAGTGAGATGCTCCCAGAGGCTTGTGGGTGCCCTTCCTGGGCCTGAAAGGTAGAAAAACGCTTTTCCCTGTCCAGATCCTGTACCCATCTCCTCCTGTGATGTGCCTCCATAGCTCTTCGGCCACGAGGTTCTTGGCAGTGGTGGGCATTTGAGTGGGATCGTGCCCGGCTTTGCTTAGCTTTCTTTCTTTATTTCTGCAAATCTATTAGCATAATTCCAAGGTGGCCAAACAGATGTCACATGGAGTTAGTCAAAGCACAAAGTCACGATCCCCAGGAGGAAGGGAGGCCTGGCCATGGGAACCAGCCAGCGTGCAGCTGCCTGGGACCCCAGCCTCCTCCGGGACGCGAGCGGCTGCCTGCCAAAGAGCGTCTGCGTGGGCGGAGAGGGGCTCTGCCTCTTGGAAGCCTTTTCACTGAAGGCCTGTTGAGCTCTGCAAAGGCCAGAACAGCTGAGCACCCACTTCAATGGGAAGGACAAGAAGACACGTGGTTTGTGTGGGCATGTGCCCCTTGGGGGAGCCATGTCCTCTCTGGGAGCTGGCAGGGCACTACGGCCTCACTAAGCCCGGCCAAGGGCAAGTGTCTGGGCTAAGCCAGCCCTTTTGCTCTTGGAGGCTGGGGAAAGTGGCACTCAGGGGCTGTTCACCTCCTCTCCAGGAGTCCAGGAATCCCACCAGCTTGTCTTAACAGTACAATGTGGTCTTGGGACCCCGTGGGCAAGGACTGTGGCCAGGACCAGGGTGAACAGAAGGTGGGCTGCTGGGTGTGGGCGGAACATGGATGTGTGCAGGCAGTCAGGGGGAGGGAGCACTCTGGCCTGTGGTCGGAGCCTGCCTGCTTCCTGCCCGAGCCCGCGTCCTGAAACCATACCTCTAGCACCTAAGGGAGGCCACCCGTTGAACACGGGCCACCAGACATCACCAGGCTTCCCGCACACTCTCCCATCTTTGGAGGAGACATGAATGTCAGGTTTGGTTTTATTATGATTTCAGAACTAGCCCAGCCCATCTCTAATTATAGAACATGGTTTTTCCTTTTTTCTTTATGCTCACGACCACGTGTCTGATGAGGTCTGGAACTCTAGAATGAACACGTGAACTTTAGTAATTTAAAAATCTTTCTTTACTGCAAGTTTAAATAGGTGTACAGATAGTTTATAAGCACAATATTTTAAGAAAAAAAGTGGCTGGTCTACTAGGCAGCCTTTGTGCACTTCAGTGCTAGAAAGTTAAAGAAAAAACACTTTTGTGATTTAATGATACTATTTCTGTGGAATAATTATACAAGTATGACCTTTTTAAATCAAACTTATCTGGATGCATCTGAACCAGCAGAGCTGTGTTATATTTTCTATATTTGCTAGAACTTCATCATTGAAGGATGATTATTTCTTCAAAAGTGGTTACAATTCACACTAAACAGTTTCCTCCAAAAACAAAGGCAAAACACACCCCACACACGCACGCGCGCACACACACACGCCCTTGATCTGGAAACCCAGGCTGGGCCTCCTGCGCTCCAGACCCTCACAGGTCCATCTTTATAATCTGACCCCTGGGTGTGCCTGGTTGCTGCGGCTCTCTATCCCACGGCTTTGGTTTCCAACTCAAGGTGACCCACAGTGCTCTAGAGAAACCCAGCCCAGACCCACAGCGCCTGCCAAGGCCTTTCAGATGTGTCTCCCGTTTGTGATTTTAGAATGTCAGCACTGCACTCGCGGGGCCGCTCCTGGCCTGCGGGGCCTGCCGGCTGTGCTCAGTGCCAGGCAGAACACAAGGCACAAGGCCTGTGGCTCTGGGCATGCGGTCACTGGGCAAAAAGACAGAACAAGAACTCTGCTCCCTCAGAGGCTTCCAGCCACGGCGGCTGGTCAGAAGCAAGCTCCCTGACAGCCTCAGGGCCGAGATCAGTCCCACCTTCGCGCCGTCTCATCCTAGGAATAGGAGCCCCTCTCAGACCGGCCCGACCCACCAAACACGCCTGCTGCCACGATGAATCGGCCTCTAGCTCTCTTGGATGACTTTGCTATAGAAAGCAATAGTCCCTACTCCAAATTGCCGCCCACTGTTCTCCCCCTTTGGGACACGTCAGGACCAGGCCCTACCCCGGGAACAAACTTAAACTGCTCATATAATGATCATGTTAATAGTACTCCAGATTTTCAGATCAACTTTTGTTATATACTGTAATTTAAACAAACTGCATTTACATGCCCAGTTTCTGTAATATTATGTATACAAACCAAAATCTCTCCAGATGTAAATTATGTATACCTGCCAAGATACCTTCTCCAGGACGTTTGTGCACATTTTAAGTTAATCCATATAATATAAAAATAACTCGATGTGACTGTTGATTTGCTGAATTTACACATCACAAAGTGAATTATTTGTGGTACTTTAGTTAATAAAATGGTGGTTTTTTTCCTGAGTTATTGAACAAGCAAGCATTACCCAGTTGATCTGGCAATGACTTCTCTGTGTGTAGGTCACCAGTACTGATCTTCCCATTGGCAGTTTGTTTTTGTTTTTTAAATACCATGTCTCCCACTACAGTCTGTGTAACCACACACATTCACACCTCCATGTTGCTCTTACTTTTGTGCTTTAATTCTTTTTAGATTTTATTAAAAAACAAAACAAAACAAAACAAAAAGCTCCTGTAATTTGCACTTTCTCCCAATCCTTCAATCACTTGTACGGCAACCAAAATTACTGTAAAAAAATAAATATACTATTGCACTAAGGTTGTGGTTCTGATTGTGAACAGTGAAAACTGAATGAACTAAACAAAAAGTTGCCAAACTTGCAATCTAATTAAGTTACTGGAGACACCATAGCCGGCTTTACCTCCCTAAAATGGACCAGGTAATGTCTGTCACCAGAGAGGACAAATGCTCCTTTCACTGAGCTCGCTTGGCTTGGTTCCATTTCCTTAATCTCAGTGTCCTGACAGAAATGTGTGTCATTTCAGAGCTGAGCCACATCCGGCTGGCTCCGTGACATGTCTGTGAGCCGGCACTGAGGCCTGAGTGCTGCTTGTGCGTGGGTGGGAGCAGCACCCTCTAGGCCGGGCCAGGCAAGACAGAGGCCCACACCCACGGGCTCTTCTTCTAGCCACAGGCCCTGGAGCTGCAGGCCTGGACACCCTCTCTGGTCACCCTGAACAAGCAACATATCAAGTTCTAGAGCAGGAAGGAATTTTGTTTTGGTGAATAAGCCTGAGCCAGGAATCCCGGGCTGTCCCACTTGCTTTAGGAAAGTGCATTCAAATTGAGCACTGAGCCACTGAGGCCTCTCCAGGGGAAACAGGCCCTGGTTCCTAGGAGGCTCCGTGTTGGCTCACTTGCCTCTACACAGCACTGCTGCGCTTTGGTCCACCAAGCCCACCTACAGCCTCTGTAGGTGCCTGGTCCCTCCCTCCTCTCCTGGGAGTCCTCCCCAGCCTGTACCCCACAAGGGCACCATCCCAAGGTCTCTCCCAGGCCTCTTTCCTGGATGAGTGTTAGTTTGTCTTATTGGGGGGGGGGGGTCACTGGAAGACTTTTTCTTTTACTTGAACTTGATTTGAGGCATTTTAGCAGCCAGTGAGCTGGATGTGCTCATGTCTGAAGCCATCATGGACATCTGCTAGTGGGGAAAAGGCCTCTCAACACATGTGCAGGGGCTGCCTATGCTCGGTGGGGACTTCAGCAGATCTGATCATGTCAGCTCTCAAGCCGCTGTGTCCGTGACCTTGCTCCTGTGTGGTCCCTTAACATGGTTCTACATCTCCCAGTCCTCACTGTTTGATGTTTAAAACTACAACAGTCACTGTTCATTGCTTCTACTCTGGAACTCTCTGTTCGTAGCAATTCTGAAACTTTAATATGAGCCTTCAAATAAATACAGAAAAGAAAAAAAGAAAAAAAAACCAACAAAGTTGTGTGCCTTGGGTGTTTTGAACCTGATCTGCATAAAAACATATTGTACTCAAATGCTGTATATTTAATGAAAGGATAAACATACCTTCAATGTATCAATGTAGCTGATAAATAGTCCTAGTGCCTTGTTTTCTGAACTGAGAAGCCCATATCAATGCACAAGGTAAAGACAAAGGCGAGTCGAGCAGTGAAATGTCGAGAAGACCTAGCCGTGGTTTGGATCCTGTCTCAGCCTAAGACTGTGGGATGCCCACAGACGCTTAAGCTAAAAAATAAAAGAACATTGAAACAAGATTGTGTCATCAATTACTTTTCCACTAAAATGCTATCACTTCCGGGACTTTCATTTAATTAAAATACCCACATGCATGAGATTCCTGTGCCAGCGTTTTGACAGCAGGGGTCTGCGGCCTTCCTCCCTTGTGCTGTGTCGCCCCCCAGTGGTGCTGGCCAGCAATGCTTATCCAGGTCAGCTATTGATCATTTTCCCAGAGATCCTGTCATGGAGTGGATTTAGGCCATTCATCACACTATGCCCATTTTTCATACGTTTAAGGGACTAGACACACCTGTCTCCTGAAAGGAGCATGATGTAAGCACCCCGTCAGCCCAGCTCTGGCCTCCTCACCACCGGCTCCATCTGCTCAATGGATGCTTCCCTGAGCATGTGGCATCTCAGATAAGTCTGGGCATCTGCCAGGAGCTAGCACTCTGCCTGTGGGATTCCTCTGCCAGGAGGGAGCAGTGGCACCCATATTCCTGGGGCCCCTGCAGCAGCTGCTGACACTCCAGAGGGCAGGTGCCTTGTGCTGTGTCCTTTGCGTGTCCCTGAGCTGTCCAGCCACACACACAGAGCTCAGGGAGCAGGGGTTCCTCAGATCTGGAATCTTCCCCTGCACCATTAACCTAGCTGGACTGTCAGTACTACTGCTCCCCAGACAGAATCAGCTGTGTACCCAGATTTTGTAGTTTCAGGGACACATGTAGCCAGCAATCTGGGAAACTAAAGGCAGTGGTCAGAAAGGGGCTGCAGCTGCTCAGGGCTACATTCCACTTTCCACAGCCATGGCTTCCTCTGGAGGAGCATGTGCCAAGGGGCTGAGTCAGAGTGGGGCAGAGCATGACCTGTAGCCACTGGGCAGGATGGCCACCAGGAGAGACAGCCAGGTAGCCAACCCCTCAGGCCTATGTGAAGGGGACAGCATGGACATGGCGAGGTCGCAGAGCTTGGAGGGCCCTCAGCAGCCATCTGTACCCTTGTCCTGGCACTCCTAGGAGGTAAGCCACCCTTCCACTGCCCAGCTGTAGTCCTGCCTGCTTGGCTGACCAAATCCACACTCTCCCAACCCCAAAGCCCAGACAGCAGGAAGAACACACAGCATAAGGCAGACACTAGAATCGGCCAGCACAGAGCCCCAGAGGTGGTCCAGCTGGGCATCACAGTGCGCCTACCCAGTGCTGCTGGTGCTGAGCACCAGGCAGAACGCTGCCCAGAGTGTCCAACAGTGCTATGGGGTAGACACTAAGAAAAAAAACAAGCCATGCCAAGGTCCACAGCTAATAGAGACCAGGGTGTGTAGTGTAGCCTCCCGGGCTAAGTCCGTCTGCAGTGAGAACCCACAGGTGCCCTTGGAATTGGCACTAAGTCACAAACTGACAGTGACAAGAACACTCCCTCTCCCACCCTCCTTCTGAAGTCATTTCTGCAGGGCCAGGTTCAGAAGCCAAGCAAGGCAGGAACCCACCCCCTGAGTCAGCTCAGGACTGTGGGAAAGAGAGGCAACTCAGAGGTGATCTGCTTTCCTAACTCCGTCAACCAGGGAACCCTGGCCCTCAGGCACAGAGGACCTTGGGTGAAGACATGGCCACTTACATGTGGCCTCTGCCTTAATTTTCACAGGGATCCCAAGAGGTAATATCACCAATATCACCATACAGTTGATGATCCCCCGTCTCACAGCGCCACCCGGTGTGTCCCTGGCCAGTCGCCCACCCTGCCTGGAGCCAGGCAGCGGGGCACAGCTCCACCGCCTCGTCCACCTCGTCTACCACTCCAGACTACAGATGAGGTCTGGAGACCCAGCACCACTCCACATGTCCCTGAAGACTGAGCCCTCACTAGGAGTGCAGAGTGCCCTGGGGCCTTCCTCCCCAGGCCCTTCTGCTAAGCTCTGCGGCTCAAGACTGTGCATCACCCAGAAACCTTCTGCCACATCTGCAGTGAGAACCCACAGGTGCCCTGGGAATGGCAGCCAGAACCAGCTCTGGTGCTCCTGACCCACCACAGCATGTTCTCCTCCACACCTCCCTCTGCCAGTGAGGACGGGGGCAGTCCCTTCCTCCTCTTCCCTGTCACCTCCAATGTCAGAAAAGGGCCCAGCAAATGACGGCGACACAGGAGTTGCAGGATCACACACCACCCTGGCTTTGAAGCTTGACATAAAGCCAGAGGCATGAAGCGAACACAACCTTCTTTGCTGGCCTTGGAGCTGCCATCTGGGCGAGCTAAAAATAAATGTCCCATTTCCAAGCAAGAGTTTATAAAAAGTGACCACGAAGGCCCTGAAAGAGACATTGGGACCTGGGGGAAATCACACAACCCGAAACAAGTGGTACCCTGCAGGCAGCAGGGCCACCTTTCTCGAGAGGGCTTGGAGGAGCAGGGGGTGGCTGCTACGGTGGCCAGGTAGGAGGACGCAAAGAGCAAGGAGCACTCAGCATGAAACGCACCCGCGGTGCGCCCTTGGCAGGGACAGAGACGGCCACGTGTTCGCCTGCTCCATCCCCGGTGCCACCCAAGAGCCTCCCGGGTGTCTGCAGGGCTTCCTGGGCCACAGAACTCGGAGCAGGGCGGCCGCGAGGGCACCTCACCTCTCAGCACTGCGCGGGGACAGGCTCCTCTCGGCCGGCCTCGCCTCGGCCCGCGGCTGCAGACCGCAGCCACGCCGGCTTCTCCCACCGCCCGACGCCGAGGCCAGGGGACTCCGCAGCCCACACGACCACGCTGGGCCTCGCCTGCAGGAGCAGCCATGGCCTGGCCTTCTCACAGCGCCACCCAGCGTGTCCCTGGCCAGTCGCCCAACCTGCCTGGGGCCAGGCAGCCGGGCGCAGCTCCACCGCCTCGTCCACCCAGAACCCTCTGCGCCTGGAGCTCCCAGGAGGCGCGCAGAGCATGCTGGGCCCGCCGGCCACGTGCCGCGCCAACCAATCTCTGGTCAACAGCTTGAGCCTACGATTGGCAGGCTGGAGTGGGCGGGGCTCCCTCCAGCCAATCAGCAAGGCATGGAGGCGGGCGGCAGAGAAGGCCGCCTCTGCCTAGGGAGCAGCCGCTCCAAGCTCCAAGTCCTTGTCCATGTCCAGGTTCAGGAGCTCCTGAGCAGTGTGGCCAGGACCGCCTGACGCAGCGGGAGTGCCTCCGCTCTGAGGCTGGAGGCCCTCAGACAGTTTAAGCAATAGATAGGAGTTGGTGCCCTGCTTGACTCGGTGCGGTGTGGCTCAGTGGTCAAGCGCTGGCCCAAAGTGCACCAGGCCCTGGCTCCATCCTAGCTCCCAAAGATAAAGTAGTGGGGGAGCTTAAACGAACAGTATTTTATTCCCCTGCAGCTCCAGGAAGGCCTAGCTCTGTCTGGCTCACTGCCCTAGCACCCAGAGCTAACTGTTCTCAGAAGTGCGTCTGGGAGAAGTGGGTAGTCCCTGGCTCACTAGGGTCCCCAAGGAGATCCTCTCAGCAGCCTTTCCCTCAAATTTATCACCTCACAGCAACCAAAGACTGCTCTTCCTCCACACATTACAGTCCCCTCCTCCTCCTCCTCCTCCTCCTCCT